TCACGTGCTTATAAGCCAACCAATAATAATGTGATTATTTTTGCGATATAACATAATGTTTGTTTAAATTGATACCCTCCCCCACTGCGCTTAAGCTTCAAAAGGAACGTTAAACGAAATTTCAATTTCAAACAGCCTAATTTTAAGTTTAAACTTTGAATATAATCTACTGATCCATCCATTCCTTATTTTTTTTCAACATAATTGCGCTACCCTATGGGTAAGTCACAAAATTTGATATTCATGATTTTACAGTATTTAATAAATGAGAACGTTATATATAATTTATTGTTAATAGTAAAATAGAGAACAAAAAAATTTATAAATGTTCTCTCTGAGAACGCTTTGTACAATTTTTTTTTTAAATAAGGGACCATTATAATAATTATTGTCGCGGATGACGCTGAAATTTAGGGTTCCATTTAAATTTATAATACCTATTAAAATTCACATATACCTTTTACTAACAACACTAACCCTAAACCCTAACCTAACTCTAAAAAAACCTAACGAAAAGGCCCAAAAAAATTTAAAATTTCATAACAAAATAGGTCAAAATTTCAGCATCAGCCACGACAATTATTATTATTGTTTTTAAAAAAGTTTAAATGTTTCTGAGAACCATCAGGACATCAAATTTTAAACACTACTTATAAAATATGAATTATTGGAAATTAAACTAAATTTTATGTGGAGTTTTTAATAAAACTGGAATTGAAAAGATAGCTATAAAATATTTATTTTTAAGATGACTGTTAAACATTATTGTCAAAATAACAAGCTCATGAAGGGTTAATAAATATTGTTGTTATACTTTAGTTACTATGAAATCACCTAGAACAACTTGCTAAATTACAAAATTACTGCCGTTATTATAAACATTTCTACCCTTAACTACATATATATGAACATGTTGTGCTCTCATGTCATTCTATTTAATCAAGTACCAACCTATCTATATTATTTAAACTTTGATTCATTGACTAATTTTCAACCTTCGTCTTAGAATACCAGAAGAAACAAGAGACCAAATTCCACCAATAATTATTAAAACAACCCCGGCAATAATACCAGCAGATATATCATCTGATGGATAACAATAATCATAGTTGGTTATACAATGATACCAACTTTGACTCACTAAATGACCTGTTAATATTCCAATACCAGTCCCAAGAATGATAAAACCTAGCCACACATATCCAAATATTTGAGAAGAAGTAGCCATAATGTGTTATAATTTTGATTTCAATAAATGAGGATTTATAAACTGAAGAATATTTCTCTTAACTATTTTAAAATATTATAAAAATAACATACAAATTTTATGATATAATTACTTAGAAAACATTTTATACGGAAGGTATATAAAGTATGAATTTGTAAGATTACAAAGTGTAAAGCTACAATACAGACTGTAGCTATCTTTTAAAAAATGATATTAGAACTTCGCTTATTTTTTAGATTTAAAATAAAGTTTCTGATAAACCAAAAACAAAAAAGAGATCCCAAAAAGTGAAAGCATTTATAAGTATTTCCTTTTCCAATTTAGAATATTCTATAATCACTAACGTAACATTATATGAATGGTGTAAGTCATAAATGTGCTTCGTCTTTATTCAGCTTGTGTACAATAACTCTATTTTTAGCTTATTATTAGAGTATATTATCATTTGCATACTATATTCGCTTATTTCATTTTGAAGATTGTTCAAAAATTGGCATGCCCATTTGTAAAAATCTATAACAGCTGATCTTGGTTATTATCATTAACATATGCAAATTCCAATTTGTCATGCCATTTTGTAAAGATCTATAACAGATAACCTCGATTGTTATCATTAACATATACATATTGTAAAGAATTCCAAATTTGTCATGCCAATTTGTAAAGATCTATAACAGATAACCTCGATTGTTATCATTAACATATACATATTGTAAAGAATTCCAAATTTGTCATGCCCATTTGTAAAAATCTATAACAGATAATCTCGATTGTTATCATTAGCATGCACATTGTAAAAAATTCCAAATAAATATGAACTTTTGATTTGTAATAAGCTGTTGTTACACATTTTATTTTTCAACACAATTACAAATAAAATTGGTTTTTTTTTTTAAAAAAAAAAAAAGATGATGATTTAAGAATCTGATTAAATGGAGAGAAATCTCAGCAAATTTTTATCACAGAAATGAATTATTTAAGATAGGCGCCGGATAATGTATACCAGGTTGACAGCTTGAAATAGCCAAGTAATCTGTAACAATTAACTTTGTAATTATAATAAGCTAGGAAAATGCGTAGCATTGTGTATCTGGAGCATATCATATGATTCATCTCATGCTTAAACGCGTGAATGTGTATATTTTTGTTACACTAAATTACAAACTCGAACACGTAAAAAAATTTCCAAATTATCTTTTGATATGTTCTTCATAAAGTTTATGCTATTCTCAAGCACCTCATTCAATGGATCGGACGTAAATTTTTAATTAGTCGGAAATTAAATAAATCAATCGAGTTACCAATTCGATCAACAAATTAACGAGATACAAACCACCTTTTTTCTCCGTGTATACGCTCCGATTCCCCTCAGCCGACTCAACACAAGGTTTCCTTTTTATTCTAATTATATGATTTTTTTCAAAAATTTACCATTGATAAAGATCGCTCAAGCACTACCTTTACATTCTAACATATCAAACATAATAAACAATGAATTCACAACAAAATTCACAACAAATTTCTAACAGGTCTAAAAAATAGCCACTTTTTAATGCTCGAAGCTTTTAAAACAAATAATCGACACCTTGATATGAACGTAATTAATACAACCTATCTTTTAACATTTAACCAAACCGTAATGAATACTGCTACTCCATTTTTCGCTCATATAAACTGAGCTTCTCAGCAAAGAAGGCCCAAAACTAAAAGGTTTTGGGTAAACATTTTTCCATATTTAACAGATAATGAAGGTTATAATTCCTTTCGAAAATATTTCGTATTACCCATACTACTTTCAACGCAATTGTTTCACAATTAGAAACACACCTTGCTTTTAGTGTAACTGCACCTAATGCGACCCTTGTGTGGAAACAAATCACCATTGTATTATGCTGTTTGGCAAATGGGGTTGGAATAAGAACATTAGAATAAACTTTGGTGTAAGTCAAGGGTTGGTTAGCCATTTTATGGATTGATTTTTAAAATCATTGTTTGATTTGGAATCAGACAGAATTGCATAGCCAATTAGCAACTGTAATTAAAGGATTTGAGTGTAATGAAATAGGATTAGAAAATTGAAACTTACCAAATGTAATTAGTGCTATAGATGGCTCATGTATTCTCTTCACCCTTTCCAAAAATGAATTTTAATATGTAAATTGCAAAAATTTTTATTTGATTAATTGTTGATTACTAGGGGAATTTATTTTTATTTATATTGGTTTTTTTTTTGGTGTTAAGGTGGCCTCTTTGGCTTGGAGATTTTTTTATTAAGTGCCTTAGACATTTATACAATTACAATAAAAATACATCAAGCCATATATACACTTTTGGTGTTTAATTTAAGTAGTTGCCTAAAGGTTTTATACTATTTGCTATATCTGCATTTCAACTATGGGAGATACTTATTTAAACTCTCTAATTACAACTGCTACCTATTACAACTTAACCCAGAGTATTGCTCACTATATTTACATGGATTTTGTCATCTACTTAATAGATTTTACACTTTATCTTAAAACTAATTATTTATAAAAAAACCTAACAGGGTGGTCTATATCTTATACATGTTTTTATCTGCATATTTAGTAACTTCTTTTTAACTAGTACATGCTATGCTGTTGTATCTCACACCATCTTTTGGAATACTGCTATTTCACAGTTACTCAAACTATAGCCTTTCTAATTGGTTGTTAATTACTTACTCCTTGCTTTTATAAGGTTTGATACAACTTTGATATCTATATTTCAACTTTTTTTTATTCCAGAATTCTTTACTAGTTCTTTCTTTATACCTAGCTAGCAACTAGATAGATCAGTCTGCCCAGGCTTTAAATACCTTATAGTTGCTCTCTTCTTGATATATGCTTTTAGAGTACATGTCCTTTTTCTCTAGTAGTAATCTGGCAGTTTGGTTAATATATCTTCTCACTTAAAAATCTGGTTATTCAGTTCTCTGGTTTTAGTTTCTAGTTTCAAATTTAGTTTTTCTGTAATACTATTAAAAATCACTGCTACCTTTCTATTTAGGACTTGCCAAATAGGTTTTTAGTAATACCAGTTCTCTGAATTTATTATACCAAAGCTTCTATTTAAAATAGTATAACCAAGATTACAAATTTCTAAACCCAACTGATTGTTATAACTATTAATCTTAATACAGGCCTAATTTTTAAAGTCATCATCTATAAGATTTGAATTCTAGACTTGTCACTTGAAGTATGACAACTCTACTACTTCACTAAGTTGCTATACCCTTTTTTTATTTATATTAAAGCAAATTTAAAATAATTTTAATTAATATTAAATAATTTTTTTTTTTAATGTTTAAAGTGAGACCATGCTTTTATTTTTATTAAACTTAATAAAAACTTTTACAGAATTGAAAAGGATTTTATATTTTAAGTTTATTACTAAGAATAAGAACTTAGACATATACCAAAAGCCTAAGCTAGATGTATTTAGAGACTTATCTGTGGCCTAAACCTTAATATTACATAATTTAAATTATTATTATTATATATTTTATATAAAAAATAACTACATGATATTTATTACTACTTCTAAGATTTTTAGAAAAAAATTTTAGAAATTATTTTTTTTATATAATAGAATAAAGATTAGATATAAGATCTCAATTTTTTTTGTAAAGTTTTTAAGATTTTTAACTATTTTTACTTAGAGTATCTGATTTTATTTACTTAGTATATTTTTGAGATATAGCAACATTGGGAATAATTACTAGTAGTAATAAATTGCAAACTTCTTTTATATAAATTTATTTTAAAAAAAAAATAAAATAAAAAAAATTAAATATATAGTTATAAAAACTAAAATACTTATTTTTTACAATTTACTAAACTGATTTTAATATTTTAACTACTATTCTAATCACAAAACACTTCTTGACAACTTTCCTTAGAAGTTGAAAATAGGTTTACTTAGTAAGTAAAAAAGATTTCTTTAAAAAACTCCAAATTTGAAAATTCTAAAAACAATAAAAAAAATTTTACTATATTTTGTCACTTAACTACTACTAAATCTAAATATGTTTATAAATCTTGAATTAAACCTAAACTAAACTAAAATTTTAAGTTTAGATTCTATAAATTCAAAGTTTAGTTTAGGCTTAGGTTCAATGATTTGCAATATTTGTAGTTCATGTTCAGGTTCAGGTTCATTGAACCTAAGCCTGAACTGAACTAAATCTAGAAACTCTATTTTTCTTGTATTATATTTTTTAATTTTTTTTAAACTTTGAATGAAGATATCTTAATAACTATTAAGTCAAATTTAATAAATTTTTTTTATTTAAATTTTACAAACTAGTAGAATTTAAATAAAAAAAATTATTAAATTTGGCTTGGTGGCTGTTAAGATATTTTTTTTAAAAGTTTTAAAAAATTCACAAATAAATTGTATCAAAATTTTTTCAAACTTTAACTGAAGATATTTTGACAACCACCAAGTCAAATTCAGTAAAGTTTTTTTTTCGAATTGTATAAATTAGTGGGATTTAAATAAAATGACAGTTATCAAATTTGGCTTGATAGTTGTCAAGATATCTTTATTTGGCTTAATGATTATCAAGATACCTTTACTCAAAGGTTTTAAAAATTCAATATCAATTAAATAAAATTTTCTCAAACTTTGAGCAAAGATATCTTGACAAACTCTAAGTCAGACTTGATAAATTTTTTTATTTGAATTTTATAGATCTGTAAAATTCAAATAAAAAAAGTAACTGAATTTGGCATGGTATTTGTAAAAAAATCTTCATTCAAAAACTCAAACCATCCATCAAAACAGAAGCTATACTATAATTTCTCATAATTTGAGTCAAGTTATTTTATAAAATACTAAATCAAATTTAATAATTTTTTATTGGAATTTTATATCTTTATAAAATTCAAATAAAAAAAAAATTGTTAAATTTGGCTGTTTTAAAAAGCACAAGTATCTCAAATAAAAATTTTTCTCAAACTTTGAACAAATATATC